CTTTATAGCCGACCATACAGTATGGGTTATTCTAATTGTTAAAGGCCGTACAGTTGCCTATAATTGCTTACATCAACTTCATTTGAACGTTGGTGAATAGTTGTCTCATTGGCAATCATATCACATCTCTTTATTTTTATTCAGTATATTGAACAAGAATATATGTGTCCATAGGAACACCATACCCTGCTCACGCTATCACTTTTCCATGTGCAATGCACCATGAAATCTTGCTCAAAACCCTTATTTGGCATACATAATATTAAATAGTTCACTTTATAATGAATATGTGTATGTTTATGTGACCAAAAACTATCCTAAAGTTCTAAACTAAAACTTTAATTTACATTAAACCAAATCTTAAACCGAATATTAACAGTAATTGGGACAAAAAATTCACATCAAAATGAAAATGTGTATTAAATTTCAAGTTGGTGTGACAATATAACATCATAAAATACTACCTTAAACCAAAATCTTATTTAACCTGATCCTGTTCAGGAGGACAAATAGAACAGAGAACAATATACCCCCATCTATTAGATATAGGTTATTATAATGACATTTTTTCCATAGACTGCCTTAAGCTATTTTGGGTGTTTTTTGCCAAACTATTAAGTAATAGATAATGCATATTTTAAGGTTTTTCTTGTCCTATAACACACCGAGGGGTGTCAGGATTCATCAAATGAAAGACCTACCATAGAAAAACCTTAAAATATGCATTCTCATGATTATGTGACTTATATTACGTCAAAAAATATTATTTTTCTGCAACGATTTGCATCCTATTCCTATTTTAACAGTCAAAGTAAAGTGGGGTATTCTTTTCTAATGCGTTCAGGTTTAAATACGCCCTACGGCTCATTTATAATGTGAAATAAAACTCACTAATTAATTTAGATACATGTATAATCTTTAGAAATCATTACCCAGTTACAATTAAAAAAAAATTCCTATAACTGCATGATGCAAGACACAAATGAATTGTTATGGTATATGAAAAATACAACTCACTGTGTAAGTAATCTATTGTATCAACTTAGTATATGAAAGGAGGATGCTGTGTTTTTCTTTTGTTTCCATGACATTTTTATCCCAAAAAAGCAGATCATTTTTTCAACAATTTTTAAAACTAACTACTCAGAATAATTGTTTTCTCTCTTTTGTATCTAAAATATTTTATTGTTTTAGTGAAACCTTTGACACATCCCTGTAAATATAAGTAACTGCATAAAATATCCATTTTTTAAATATTTACACAATTTTTGGTGTACATATTTTTACATTTATCATATATGTATATCTGTATGCTTTTATATATAATGCGTCTTCAATACTATACTATATTATGACGTTCACATGTGTTACATTTATAAGGAAAAGGTTATTAATAAATTCCTACATTGTTTGCATATATATAATAAATTAAAAAACGATTATAACCGAAATCAAATATAATTTTCCAGTCGATTCCCAACACTACAATCTCTTGAAGAATTAGTCATTTAGTGATTAACTACATGTAGACGTCTGTTTTATTTCTGTATCCAACAGGATTTGATCATTTTTTTGTCTTTTATAATTGGTAATTTACTTATATCTGTGTAAAACCAAAACAAAAATAAATTTACCCAGTAATCCATCAGGTAGGAACTGGTTTTTATATTAATGTCCTGTAAAAAATTCCAATTGACCAATATTGACCAGTATTTACCAATATTTACTGTGGCCTGGTCAATTCTAGTATTCACATGTTTTTTGCCAACCTTGACTAGGCCACACTTAAAAATATTTTGGTTTGCCCAAACCCTACCCAAAGGTATAGACAGTGGGTAGGTAGGTAGGCATTTTCTTTTTTTTTCGGCAAAGAGAAATTGAAGTGTCAGATTTTTTTTAGTCTTCATGCCTATATGATTAAAAAAAAAACTTTTTCACATCAGGACAATAAAAGATTTTGAGTAGGCAGCTATTTTCTGGGTAGGTAGGGTTAGGGCAAACAAACATATTCTTTTTTATGGCCCTATTAAAGATTGTCTGTCAAAATGATAAAAACAAAAAAAATTGCAACAGTCTAACATTTGTCTAACAAACACTTTGTTATTAAAATTATATAAAAACATACATATCAAAGAAACCAATTCATGTTAATACATGTAATAAGGTCAAATACGTCAGTGGACATGTTTACTTAATATGGGTTTCCTCCCTCCCTGTCCATAAAAATTAGCGCCTGTAGGAAAGAATTTGTTTTTATAAATTTTTTTCATATTTCGACTTTTAACGACAAAATCTGGAAAAGTCACATGTTTTTCTTGACGAATGATCTTTACTTGCAAGTACACATCTGATGATTCTGATCTTGTAATTTTAGTATTGCTTTTTACAGTGTTATGACAACTTTTCACTTGATTTTTGTCATTTTATTACAAATTTGACTGAAATGGTTAGTGAAACGAGCATTAGGTACAATGTATGTTAGTAGTCTACTCAAAACTCTATCTATCCCATCGAACTAGAGATAAAGGATACTACAGATACAGTTAAGTCTGCCTCATATCTTGACTTACATCTAGAAATTGACAATGAGGGTCGGTTGAAAACAAAACTTTACGACAAAAGAGATGATTTCAGCTTTCCAATTGTGAACTTTCCATTTCTATGTAGCAACATTCCAGCAGCGCCTGCATACGGAGTATATATCTCCCAATTGATACGATATTCCCGGGCTTGTGTTTCCTATCATGATTTCCTTGATAGGGGATTGCTGCTCACAAAGAAGCTATTAAGCCAAGAGTGCCAAATGGTGAAGTTGAAATCATCCCTTCGTAAATTTTACGAACGCCATCACGAGTTGGTTGACCGTTATGGAATAACCGTTTCACAGATGATATCCGATATGTTCCTTATGTCGTAACTACAATACCCTTCCCTTTTCACGAATGTGACTTACAGAATTAGACTATTTACCGGATTTGTAATAACATAAGCAACACGACGGGTGCCACATGTGGAGCAGGATCTGCTTACCCTTCCGGAGCACCTGAGATCACCCCAAGTTTTTGGTGGGGTTCGTGTTGCTTAGTCTTTAGTTTTCTATGTTGTGTCATCTGTACTATTATTTGTCTGTTTGTCTTTTTATTTTTGGCCATGGCGTTGTCAGTTTGTTTTCGATCTATGAGTTTGACTATCCCTCTGGTATCTTTCGTCCCTCTTTTTTTGATATAATTATAGAAAATTGTATGTTTTATCATAATTATTGCTGTAATTTTTCAAAAACACCTTATTTGTGTTTGATTATTTTTTTTTCAACTTTGCCAAATAAGGGGAGATAACTCTGATAAAGTCATTTTTATGATAGAAAGTGTTGTGAATTTACATATTTTAATCTATAGCAAGAAAACAAGTTCGGTGAGCCCATTTTTTCTTTTTCTTATCTGAAAGCATGTTATAAGAGCTATCTTCTCACATTATATCTTAAAATTCTATCAGGTAGTTTTCTTTTTATCACACAAAATCTGATTTGTCATGCATTATCTATACAAAATCTAACAATTTTGCACTACCTGTAGCATGAAAAAAAGTCTGGTGACCCATACTTTTATTATATTTTTGAAAAAAGCATGATAAACACTTCATTTTGACAATATTTAAAAAATTCTATCAATTTTAATTAAGACGCCCTAGCCACCTTAAGACTTGCCAGAATGTTAGGTGAGGAGGTTAGGACCCAAATTATTACGAACGTAACAATCATATTTGTGTCTACGGGTAAATGGCGTAATTATTACATTAGCTCTTGACAAGGTGTCCCACAGCCTTCTCCTACTTACACCATGATGGCATCATAAGACAAACAAATACTCTGGAGTATGCATCGGCTGTTGTCTGCTCTATGGTTGGGTTGTTGTCTCTTTGACACATTCCCCATTTCCATTCTCAATTTTATCATCAAGGGATATGGTTAACTAAATACCTGGACTGGACAAAAGCAAATGATCTAGATTGGGAATGACATTTAAACAACACCCTGTTTAAAGCCAGTCAAAGCCTTGGTTTATCACACCTCCACATCAGCTCAAAATCCATCAAAGAGCACGCTGGTAAGACATTAGTTGGACCACAAATGAAATATTCCACAACAGTATGGGACCTGTAATGGTTTATAAGCAATACCACAAAGACAAATATTCTACCATAATTTGTCGACTGAACTATATTCTTCGACTTTCAAACTAGTTAACAATAGTACATTTATTATCTTGAAGATTTTGTACTTAAAAACTGTTTAAACATTATTTGTTGAAATGTTACAATCTTTATAAATCTGTTAAAGAATTAATAAATTGAACATAACAATAATTAACGCTTTGTAAACTTTGGAAAATTGGATAAAAATTGAGGATCTAAAATCAGTGAATAGCGTCCTTAAGACTTGTTTCTTTGAACTTTGAAAGAAAATAAGAGAGAAATGTGCCCCCCTTTTAAGGGAAAAATTTGATTGATTATTTAGGGAATCACTGAAGCATGACTGGAGCCCCCCCCCCCCCCCCCCCCACCTTTTATGAAAATTTCTGAATCCACTGATATACACAGGTAAAAGAGGTATTGCCTACTCTCTGTTTTGTTTATTCTAGCTGCTGAACCGTAGCTCTTCGGTCCTTATGATAATTTTTGACAATTTGCGGACTGAACCGTAGCTCTTCCGTCCTTCTGATATTTTTTGACAAATTAATTTGTGGAGTCCGCAAATTGTCAAAAAAATATCATAAGGACCTAAGAGCTACAGTTCCACAGCAAAATTTATTCTAACATTTTTTAATGAGTCTTTGATCAGCTGTAAATGTGATAATGTCAATTAATGAATCGATCCAAAAATGTAAACAAAGTCGATCATCGATCAGCTGTTTTACCACACAAACAAAATGAACCGATATATAGGTAATTGAACGGTTTTAGCAGATGACATGCAGTTCCAACATTTTTTTCTTAAAGCTTACCCCATATCACGGAATATAAACGATTACATTCAACTAATGTATCTATAGCATGTCTTTTTCAGCAATTTTAATTGTTCCTGTTAAGGATGCTGACCTTGGCGACCTTGTAGTTTTGAGTTACCTCCCTTACAACAGCGTACAGATGAGTACCATAACTTTTCCCGCGTTAATCTACTTTACTACTGTTTAAATAGTTTATTAACTTTAAAACTTTAAAACTTTTATTCTCTGGTATAAATAAATATTTTGGGACAAAATAGGTCGGGTCGTGTCTCCTTTAATATTAGTCGCACTTGCATAGTATACAATATTATGACCCAATGTTCTCAGTGAATTATTGGAGAGATTTCTGATAAAGCCGTATTATAGAGTTTTAATAATACCTTAAAATTCGGTTTATATTTATGTATGAAAAATGTCTCTTTGTTGATTCTCTTTGGTTCTGTCGTTCCATCAGCACACTGATGAAATGGAAATATTTTGTATTTGATGGTGTTCCTGCTAGCATAGCACTGACAAGTATCTAAGCCGGTGTCCACTTAATGGTATTTGTCTATAATTCTATATTCTTTTTCGAAGTGACATGCCTATTAGATCTGTGTAATCTTCTCCACAACCAGTGCATGTCATTGTGTATAAAAGTTTTCCAGAAATCGGATTTTATTTTAAATATTTGGCCTTGTTTAAAATTGAATTCGGAACCTTCGGGTAGATTTTCACATGTTCCACAATTTGGTCGTCTGCATTTTGTAACATAAGGTTTAGTATATTCTTATTATCAGTTGGCAAACGAGAGCATTGGTTAATATTTTTTTCAAAGATTTCGGTTGTCGCTTACTTTTTATAATGTTTTTATTTTCCAAGGCTCATCTCATTCTTGAGTTACGATTTAACGTTGGTCAATTTGTATACATAATAGTATATGCTTCACTGTTTCTTGGGTTGCATAACAATAATATAAATCTTTATCTTTACTTATTTTGCAATCAATTTTTTGGGGGGATACAGAAAAAAATATTGGAATTTAGAGAATTTAAAGATAGGCTAAGACTATGCAAGATCAAAATGAGTGCACACACCCTAAAACTAGAGAGAGATATATATATATATATGCCAAAAAAAACTATATGGTTATGTAACAAGAGTGCACACACTGAAATGTCTCGCCTTCTTTACTAACCATTGATTTTATGTTGATAGTCCTAAATACAAAGCTTTACTACAAGTAACACATAAACTTCAGGCGCGTAGCTACGTTTACGTCAAAACGCCCGGGCGTACACATGAATTTTGAAAAAAAATATTTAAATCTAAATAAATTAAAAGAATTGGTTAAAAGCACATTAGGCTTGTAATACTTTCTTCAATGACGACATTAACTTTATGAATCAAATGATATGATATTACATATTTGTTCATTTTCTGTCAAAGTCTGAATCTACTGTGAATTCTACTCAATTTCCTATTGTTCAAAGCAATTTATTATATATAAAATCTTGTTAACAATGAAAGTGGTGGTGTCTGATAGTCTGAAGTCAAGGAGACAGCATTAAGGATTTAACTAGGCAAAACGTTTATTGTACTATTTTTGCCAAACGACATGTGATATGAAAATAAAATAATTTCGAATTTTGTCTCCTGTAAATGACTGGTCAAACTTGTCACATGTAAAACAACACCTACAAGATGATTCTTCTCACCATGATTGTGTAAAATTGGGACAAGACTTTTTGGGTGTTGCAAATTCAATATCCAAGTCAATAGCTTATCAAGTTCTTCACTGTCATCCTTTCATCATGAGATTCTAACAAAAAACCGACATATACTTTCAAAAATAGTTGATGTAATCATCCTTTGTGAAAAACAGAATATACCACTTCGTGGCCATACTGAAGGAAAAAAGTAACTTTATGGCAACACTTTTAAAGACAATTGCAAATTCGGATGACGTCTTTGCTATGCATCTTGAGACTGTCACTTTGGTCAAATACACATTCCCAAAAAACCAAAATTAACTCATTGTCATACGTGCAGACCAAATATTAGACCAACGTATATAAGGACTCTTGTTGTAGCTCATCCTTTCTTGTTCTACTTGCTGAATACAACAACAGATAAAGCATCTCAAACCCAGCTTTCGGTTTGTGTTACATTTAGGGAGCTATCATTTGATTTTTATGGGGGACTAGGATGAAATTTGGAAAAAAAGGCAGGACAGGAGTTTTGAGTAAAAAAAAGGCAGAATGGGCAACTTGGCAAAAAAAAAAGGCAGGATGACAATTTATGTAAAAAAAAGTCAGGATAAACTAATGTTACACTATTGTTTCAGAAAAAAGGGTGAAGGTTTGGTACCATTAAAACGTTTAAACCCGCTGCATTTGTTTGCACTTGTCCTAAGTCAGAAATCTGATGTTCAGTAGTTGTCGTTTGTTGATGTGGTACATAAGTGTTTCTCGTTTCTCGTTTTTTATATGGATTATACCGTTGGTTTTCCCGTTTGAATGGTTTTACATTAGTAATTTTTGGGGCCTTTTATAGCTTACTGTTCGGTGTGAGCCAAGGCTCCGTGTTGAAGACCGTACTGTGACCTATAATTTTTTACTTTTATAAATGTTGACTTGGATGGAGAGTTGTCTCATTGGCACTCATACCACATCTTCTTATATCTAATAAAAAAAGGGCAGGACCGAACAGAGTGAAAAATAAAAAGGCAGGACAGAGATTACAACTAAAAAAATACAGGACAAAGTTTTTCATCCTAGCCCCCTAAAAATCAAATGGTAGCTCCCTTACGTGAACTATTTTTAGGATTCAATCACGCCAAAGCTTCAACAAAAGAAGCAATTGCAAATCTGCTACTTGAATTTATGAATCAAAATGGTATTTATCTACAAAAATTGAGAGCACAGGGTTATAATGGTTCTAGCATTACACTGCATATACAATGATTTATACAATTTGGGTAACTTTTATTCACAATATCGTACAAACCTTATCATTTGATTTTTTGATAAATGTACCCATTTCTTTTTTATATTTCTATGGAAGCTGAAATACGATATGTGATTTTCACCCCACATCTCCTGTATCTCTTTCTCGATAACGCGTGAGCTTCCGTGGGGGGGGGGGGGGGGTCTCCCACATGAGCCCCTTTCAGAGCTACACCCTGGATCCAGACCCCTCGCTGAGGTTCGGGCGTACACTTAAAAAAGGCCTTGCTACGCCACTGAACTTAACATGATCCAAGAAAATGAGGTCAAGGTCAGATAAACCAAACGAGAAATACATGTACACCTTATAATCATTCAATAAACCAAACATAGATGACCTATTGCTTATTGTTTCTAAGAAACAGTCTTATTAAACAAGAAAACTTAACATTGACCAATGAACCATGAAAATGAGGTCAAGGTCAGATGAACCATGCCAGACAGACATGTACACCTTACAATCAATTTAGGCATTAAATATAGTTGACCTATTGCTTATAGTATCTAAGAAACAAACTTAAACATGAAAACTTAACATTGACCAATGAACCATGAAAATGAGGTCACGGTCAGATGATACCTGCCAGACAGACATATACACCTTACAATCCTTCCATACATCAAATATAGTTGATCTATTGCTTATAGCTGAAGAAAAACAGACCAAAACACAAAAACTTAACACTGAGAAATGAACCGTGAAAATGAGGTCAAGGTCAAATAAAACCTGTGAGACTGACATGTACATCATAAAATATTTTTTCCACACACCATTTATAGTTGACCTATTGCATATAGTATTAGAAAAAAAGGACAAAACTCAAAAACTTAACTTTGACCACTGAACCATGAAAATGATGTCAAGGTCAGATGACACCTACCAGTTGGACATGTACACCTTACAATCATTCCATATACCAAATATAGTAGACCTACTGCTTATAGTATCTGATATATGAACTTGACCACGAAAACTTAACCTTGTTCACTGATCCATGAAATGAGGTCGAGGTCAAATGAAAATTTTCTGACAGGCATGAGGACCTTGCAAGGTACGGACATACTAAATATAGTTATCCTATTACTCATAATATGAAAGAAATTAACATTACAGTCACTGAACCATGAAAATGAGGTCAAGGTCAATGGACATATGACAGACGGAAACATCGTAACATAAGGCATCTATATACAAAGTATGAAGCATTCAGGTCTTCTAGCTTCTAAAATATAAAGCTTTTAAGAAGTTAGCTAACGCCGCCGCCGCCGCCGGATCACTATCCCTATGTCAAGCTTTCTGCGACAAAAGTCGCAGGCTCGACAAAAATGCATGTTGGATAAAGTTGAAGAAGAAGAACATTCTATATGCAAATGTCCCCTTTATAATCTTTTGCGAAAAGATTTCATGATAACATTTTGATAACTTTGGTTGTAAAATAGAGGCGAAGGATACCAAAGGGACATTGTAACAATTTCGGAATGTACACAAGTGTCAAGTTAAATTCGCTTTTTATTCCAGAAACCTTGGTATTGAAAATTATCGGAACTCAGCCTCGGAAAACTATCAATATAGTACAGATGCGATTAGATGTAACCCATTAAGAATAATTGCTTGTTAGTATTTTATGTAGTTTGTTTTATCACTGCTTTTTACTCAAATGCTTATGGCTCTTGACTGGCTGTCGCTGGAAATCATCAAATTGATTATATTCATATTTATTATATGATTGTCAAAATAATTTGTTTCTCTCGATCATAATAAAAATCATAATTATAAATTATGGGCCAATTAATGAGGAACAAAAAAATCATGATTTTTTTTAATATTAAAAAAAATATTTTTAATATTAATAAATAGGGAAAAATTCCACAACGGCTTGTCAGAAATCTCTGAGTATTAATATTATTTATAATGTCGAATTTTTATGCCCTTTTACCGCTGTGGAACCTGACATTATTATGTCACCGGTTATAGAAATTCATGAGGTGGGGGACTTTACTAGGAAATAAAACCGCTCATTCCTCTTCTTTTGTTCCTTTCCGTATTATTTATCAACCGTTAAAATCAACATTGATTGCCGCCAATGAATATATTCATAAGATCAATTTTTTTAGCTCATTTCATTTATCAATATTATTGATTATAGACCTCCGACAGGTTTTTGTTCATAATCAAATAGACATACACCACAATGACATAACCTTATGTAATCCCTATTGAGTGGTCATTATTAAGACGTGTGATAGCGATCTGGACATGTACGTACACGGACGGATTTGACCGGTATGTAGTGATCAGAAAGCGTGGCTCTTCGTTAACTAATGCAGATCAATTACATACAAGTCTGTAACATATTGTATCATATCTATACTAAGTGTACCATATGGTTATCCGTGAAGCATCTTGTGTAAGGATTCTGCATGCATTTGAAGGATATTAATATTTTAAGCTTAAAGGTATGTACACAAATACTTCTAGACATAATTGTAAACAAAGATTAAGTAATATACTACAAACAGGATTTAAGCAATGATTATAAATATATATTAAGTACATGAACTTGCCTTTTTTGTTTTAAACTAAAATCATATGAAAACATTAGTCTAATTAATCCCGATGATTGGTTCTAGATAAAAATATAGAATTTATAAAATGATTGGTTCTTGTATTGATCTGTAGTAGTTACAGTGCTTAAATATAAACACGTATAAAGGGAAGGGGAGGGGGGCATGTAGTCAACAAAGGAAAGACATCGCAGAAGAAAAAAACAAAAATAAAAACAGGGAAAAGACAAACATCGTCCACCAAACACCACCAGAGACATATATATTTGTACTACATTATTGTGAATTATTTGTCTCTGACACCACAAAGGGACTGCATATCATTTTTTTTGTACAAATGCTACATCTTAATATTTCTATTTATATTCCAAAACTCCTAGGGTTGACTGGGGAATAGAAATATGGTCATCCCTTGGACAGTCCAACTTCTACCGTTTCGGTAGTAAAACTCTGCCACAGTGGGATGGGTATTCGTTTCGTGGCATTGGGTGTATACATACGTAGCCACGCCCGGTTGAAATAAATCCAAGACCACGTATTACACCCTATATGAGGGGTCCTTATGTGGCTGTTTCTCGATCGACCCCTACCTTGCAGAACCTACTTGATGTATTAATTGTCACCTGAAAATACATGAAATATTTGCTTATATTCGGTTATTTTTAATAAACCACAATCCTTACGTAAGTATTATATAGAGGGCGAATGGAAACCCAGAAGTTACAAATTTTAAAATGTTAATATTTTAGAAGTCATTTATGCGAATAAAGATAGTCGGACTGACAAATTCTAAGTGTGAAATTACATGGCTATTATATCTATGGTTTAATCTATTGTTACGGGAAGCTTCTTTATTTTACAGCATTTTTTTCAATAAAGTTTTTAAATTCCGTAGGAACTTTGATTTAAATGCACTACACACGGTGGTGTTATTTACAACACGTACATGTTTAAAATACATTATTTAGCACTATATAGTCGACAGATGATATATAACTTGAAAATATGTAAAATATATGTTTTTTTAAAAAATACTTCCTTTATTTTCCTATTTCGCTTTAGGGAAATATCAATGAATTGTTGATCATTTTCTTCTTACATACTGGTTCTTGTCAACAATATTGTAATTCAATGATTAAAAGCCATCTCCAGGCTAAAAATGAAAATTAAAGATAATTTCCCCGCTGGCTTTGGTAAAAGTGATGTCGAAGGACACTTTGAGAGGTTGCGTCTTTTCATGTACTCTATGCCTTATATATTACGAAAAAAAAACAAAGGAGAAGGTCCGGTAAGGGCTAATTTCAGCCTAAACTTTGATTCGAAGTACATCTGATAAAATATTTTTGCCATTTTGTAAACACTCAAGTGTCTACTTCAGTCGATTCATTTAATTCATGTTCAAGATTTTAAATAATTTGGTCATTAAAGACGCTGAAATTGAAGCTTAAATATGAAAAATCTATCAAATATGCCATAAAACGTCACTTTTCAGATGGTTTTTGTCTAAATTGCAAGTGGCCGCATTCGTGTTCAGTCTCAACATTTGTGTATGTTGTGTATTATTATTAAATACAACATATATTTAAATATTAAGACTGAACACAAGTGCGGCCACTTCCATTTTAGACATAAACCGTCTTAAAATTAACACAAATGCTATAATTGGAAAGTATTTTTGCATGAAATAATGATGCTAGTACCTGATGCATGTCCATTATATTGTCAAAAACAGCCCAAATTCATGTAACAAAAGTATTCGTTTTTCCAATAAATAGCTAAAAGTGACATGTTTAACTACTTTGTAAAAACGCTATATTTTAGGGCCAAAAAGGGGTCTTACCGGGCCTACTCCTTTAAAGAAAATAAAAATCCATATAAAATGCACACCTTTACTATAGTATGTACTATCCTCCTACATAATAAAACCAGGGGCGGATCCAGCAATTTTTAAAAGGGGGGTTCCCAACCCAGGATAAAAGGGGGGGGGGGTCCAACCATATGTCCGTTCCAACCCCCGGACCCCCCCCCTCGGATCCGCCACTGAAAACAGTTCCAGATTGAAAACTGTAGAAGTCAGCCGGACAAACTATCTTCCCTGCATGCGTTATATGACAATAAAATGACAAAGTTCAACAACCTGCCACTTTTAATTAATTTGAAAATCAAAATCCTGACAATATGCACACCACATGTGCTATTACCCTACACAATATAAATGTTTGCAAACTTCATGTATATGGTAATTGTAGAATAAATCGTTGGCTTAGGTAAAAGTGATGTCGAATGACACTTTGAGAGGTTGCGTCTTTTCATGTACTCTGTGCCTTATATATTACGAAAAAAATACAAAGTTTATCAACCCACCATTTGTCGAAAATTTAAAGAAAATAAAAATCCATATAACCTTTACTATATGAACTATCGTCCTACGTAATAAAGTAAGCCGGACAAACTATCTTCCCTGCATGAGTTATATTACAATAAAATGACAAAGTTCAACAACCTGCCACTTTTGATAAATTTGAAAATCAAAATCCTGACAATATGCACGCCTAATGTGCTATTACCCTACAAAATGTACATGTTTGCAAACTTCATGTAACTATATGGTAATTGTAGAATAAATCGTTGGCTTAGGTTATCTTAGGTTGGCTTATAGGTGCCTTAAAACAATGCAAACCTATCTAATGTAAACGGATAAAACAACATTGATATTAAATCGCTATCAATATATACATGTAACTTGTGAGCGACGTAAGTTTAAGAAAGTACTGTTTGGCGTTAGCTTAACCCAAAATAAACCACTTTCTTTGACTGTTTAAAACGCAACCTCTCGATGGTCTCGTTGTAGCGAGAGATCGTGGATTCTTGTCCCTTCCGGATGGAATCAATTACTAGCAAATTGGTATTTGCTAATTCTCCTCTAAGCAGGTAGTATTTATAGGGGTATAAGAAAAGACATGTCGGCTCGGGAGTCAGAATAATGTGTTCAAACAGGGTGACATATCTTCGGCAGTGGCGTAGCAAGGCCTTTTTTAAGTGTACGCCCGAACCTCAGCGAGGGGTCTGGATCCAGGGTGTAGCTCTGAAAGGGGCTCATGTGGGAGACCCCCCCCCCCCCCACGGAAGCTCACGCGTTATCGAGAAAGAGATACAGGAGATGTGGGGTGAAAATCACATATCGTATTTCAGCTTCCATAGAAATATAAAAAAGAAATGGGTACATTTATCAAAAAATCAAATGATAAGGTTTGTACGATATTGTGAATAAAAGTTACCCAAATTGTATAAATCATTGTATATGCAGTGTAATGCTAGAACCATTATAACCCTGTGCTCTCAATTTTTGTAGATAAATACCATTTTGATTCATAAATTCAAGTAGCAGATTTGCAATTGCTTCTTTTGTTGAAGCTTTGGCGTGATTGAATCCTAAAAATAGTTCACGTAAGGGAGCTACCATTTGATTTTTAGGGGGCTAGGATGAAAAACTTTGTCCTGTATTTTTTTAGTTGTAATCTCTGTCCTGCCTTTTTATTTTTCACTCTGTTCGGTCCTGCCCTTTTTTTATTAGATATAAGAAGATGTGGTATGAGTGCCAATGAGACAACTCTCCATCCAAGTCAACATTTATAAAAGTAAAAAATTATAGGTCACAGTACGGTCTTCAACACGGAGCCTTGGCTCACACCGAACAGTAAGCTATAAAAGGCCCCAAAAATTACTAATGTAAAACCATTCAAACGGGAAAACCAACGGTATAATCCATATAAAAAACGAGAAACGAGAAACACTTATGTACCACATCAACAAACGACAACTACTGAACATCAGATTTCTGACTTAGGACAAGTGCAAACAAATGCAGCGGGTTTAAACGTTTTAATGGTACCAAACCTTCACCCTTTTTTCTGAAACAATAGTGTAACATTAGTTTATCCTGACTTTTTTTTACATAAATTGTCATCCTGCCTTTTTTTTTTGCCAAGTTGCCCATTCTGCCTTTTTTTTACTCAAAACTCCTGTCCTGCCTTTTTTTCCAAATTTCATCCTAGTCCCCCATAAAAATCAAATGATAGCTCCCTAAATGTAACACAAACCGAAAGCTGGGTTTGAGATGCTTTATCTGTTGTTGTATTCAGCAAGTAGAACAAGAAAGGATGAGCTACAACAAGAGTCCTTATATACGTTGGTCTAATATTTGGTCTGCACGTATGACAATGAGTTAATTTTGGTTTTTTGGGAATGTGTATTTGACCAAAGTGACAGTCTCAAGATGCATAGCAAAGACGTCATCCGAATTTGCAATTGTCTTTAAAAGTGTTGCCATAAAGTTACTTTTTTCCTTCAGTATGGCCACGAAGTGGTATATTCTGTTTTTCACAAAGGATGATTACATCAACTATTTTTGAAAGTATATGTCGGTTTTTTGTTAGAATCTCATGATGAAAGGATGACAGTGAAGAACTTGATAAGCTATTGACTTGGATATTGAATTTGCAACACCCAAAAAGTCTTGTCCCAATTTTACACAATCATGGTGAGAAGAATCATCTTGTAGGTGTTGTTTTACATGTGACAAGTTTGACCAGTCATTTACAGGAGACAAAATTCGAAATTATTTTATTTTCATATCACATGTCGTTTGGCAAAAATAGTACAATAAACGTTTTGCCTAGTTAAATCCTTAATGCTGTCTCCTTGACTTCAGACTATCAGACACCACCACTTTCATTGTTAACAAGATTTTATATATAATAAATTGCTTTGAACAATAGGAAATTGAGTAGAATTCACAGTAGATTCAGACTTTGACAGAAAATGAACAAATATGTAATATCATATCATTTGATTCATAAAGTTAATGTCGTCATTGAAGAAAGTATTACAAGCCTAATGTGCTTTTAACCAATTCTTTTAATTTATTTAGATTTAAATATTTTTTTTCAAAATTCATGTGTACGCCCGGGCGTTTTGACGTAAACGTAGCTACGCGCCTGTTCGGCCTAAAAGACTATCATATTGTGAAATTTGAACGGTAAAAATACGGTTCAGTGTGTCAATCTAGTATAAAGAAGGGTTTATTTCATATACATTCATATCACATTAAAAGAGAGGCGTGAGATACTAAAGGGATATCAAAATTCGTGAGCCGAAATCAAACTAACAATGCCATGGGAAAAAAAAACGAAAAACCACAAAAAGACAAACAACAGTACACAAAACACAACATAGAAAACTAAAGACTGAGCAACACGAACTCCCACAAAAAAACCCGGGATTTAGCTCAGGTGTTCCGGAAGGGTAAGCAGATATACTCCTCATGTGGCATTATATAGAGTAATACTTATAGGGACTTTCAAATTAAAAAAAAAATGGGACAAGAGTGCACCACCATGCACCACCTCTAGCGAAATCACTGCATCCTGATATGCACGATATATTTGCCACTGGACGTTAAACACCAATCCATCATAATCTTCTAGCTTGTATATAAAAGGCAAAATTTAAGTTTAAAATGTTTATATTTACAGAATAAAACAGTTGCCATGGAAGCGGAACCTGTAGTTTATCTGGATCTTTTCAGCCGAATAAGAACGTTATATGAAGAGCAACGCTTCACAGATATTACTATTATGGTAGAAAACCAGTCGTTTCCATGTCATAGGATAATACTATCCGCAGCCTCCAGATATTTTGATGCCATGTTTTCATCAAATATGAAAGAGTCCGAAATGGACGAAATTTATTTGCAAGATGTAAAGGCAAAAACTTTTAAAGATGTTCTTGCATTCGTCTACTGCAATAAGGATATAGTTACACAAGAAACTGCTGAAGACATCATCAGAACGGCGTCAATGTTACAAATCGACAGCCTTCAGAACCAGTGTGAACGCTTCATGGCGGGAAATATTAACAACGAAAATTGTGTAGGACTTTGGGCGCTCGCACGACATTTAAATTACCAGAAATTAAGAGAAAAGAGCTATCCTTGTATTTTGAATAATTTTTTGGAAGTCTGCGAGTATGAAGAATTTCTTCTTCTTGAAAAAAATGACTTGGTTGAAATTATTAAAGATGACGGATTAAAAGTAATTGACGAGGAGGCCGTGTGTGAGGCAGTGTTTAAGTGGATTAAATTTGATGAATGTAGTCGAAAACATCATCTACCAGAAATATTCCAACATCTGAGATTAACACAAGTTAGTTTAGATTATGTTTTAGACGAATTAGACACAAATCCTTTGGTGGCCGAATTTAAAACTTGTGTTAGTGCCGTCAAAAATGCTATTAAATATCATGCCATGCCAGCTAGAAGACAGACACTGACGAACGTCAAGGACGAATTTAGATGTGTTTCCAATAAGACTCATTTGATCACTGTACTTGGTCGGCGTTATAGAAAAGGTGGCGAAACATCATTGGAATTTATTGGTTACAATATAAAGGAAAAGAAATGGGTATCTTTGCACAACCACGCCCTTCCATATGACATAGGCGAAGATTTCGCCGTATGTTCATTTGGTGATGACATATTCGTTACCGGTGGAACGAAAACCATGGAAACATGTCTCAGATATTCGTCCAAATTCTCACAATGGAGAGAAAGATCAAAATTATGTAAAGGTCGGTACCGTCATGCTATGGTGGCGGTGAAGAACTCCCTGTACGTAATTGGTGGATACAACTTTGGAACGCTGAGCTGTATCGAAGAATACGATATGGGAATTGAAACCTGGAAGAAAGTCGGTGAACTACAACATGGAGTTGATGCCACATCAGCAGCAGCTATTGGTGATAACTTATATGTATTTGGTGGCTGGCTAGGCTTTGCACAAGAAACAGCAGCAATCCAGTGTTTTGAAACAAAAACAAAAACCAGCTACCAGATAGGAAATCTCCCACATCCATGTAAATATACGAGAGCAATATCCGTAAATAATCGTATTCAAATTATCAGTCCACAGGGAGAACTTATATCATTCAGTCCGAACGACGGTTCAAAAATCATCAGTACCGTAAAAGATTTTTCCAGGAGGAATTTCGGGGTTTTTATAAATTCGGACGGAGTGCACATTTTTGGTGGCGAGAAAGAAACCTCAACCGATAGTGCTGAAGGCGACATTTGTGACGATGTTATACTTGTGACGGAAACACAGAGTGAGAAGCTTAAATCAATGAAACTTCCTGTTCCAATGGAGGTCTACGGCTGTATACGTACAGTTGTTGACAAGAAATATTCTTTAGTAGACTTTCAAAAGACTCTTTTGGAGTTTGATATATAAACTAAACTGTCCCTGATACTTAGCCTGCAGACTTTTGGAGTTTGATATAAAAACTAAACTGTCTCTTACTTTGCAAAGACTCTTTTGGAGTTTGATATATAAACTAAACTGTCTCTTACTTTGCAAAGACTCTTTTGGAGTTTGATATATAAACTAAACTGTCCCTGATACTTAGCCTGCAGACTTTTGGAGTTTGATATAAAAACTAAACTGTCTCTTACTTTGCAAAGACTCTTTTGGAGTTTGATATATAAACTAAACTGTCTCTTACTTTGCAAAGACTCTTTTGGAGTTTGATATATAAACTAAACTGTCTCTTACTTAGCATGATTGGGTTCATAGAAATGCTAAACAAATTAAAATTACATGGAAGGATTGAAACAGTAAACGAGTATTTAAAATACAACATTAGGAATGAGAGAGGTAAAATAGAGACTTTCAGGTGAAAGTAAATAAAAGATATGGCGATTGTCTTCGCACTGTGTCAGAGAGAAAGAGAGAGCGAGAGAGCGAGAGAGAGAAACAGACAGAATCTGCATGTGTAATTTGAAAAACGATTACTGGCTTCACAGTCATTTGATGTTCGATGTTTATTGTTAGTTATAAGATTGTCAATATCAATATTTCTATATATTTATCTATTTATTTAATTTATTTTATTATACGGCAAGAAATTATTTATATAAATTAATATAAAATAAACTATTTTTTAACGTTGTATACTAAGTCTTAATTTTCATATGATGTAAAGAAGGCATGATCGGAAACCCTTTTTAGACCTTAGAAAATAGATTCCTTCAGTGAGGATTCAATTCACATTAGAAATGGAGATGCGACAATAATTCAGTTCGGGCACAAACCAAACAATACAACTAAACCAAAGGAAACCACAATATCTGTACTTAAAATCATCTCCTTATCGTACCCACAAAACACACGATTTTCACGCCAAACCCCATCGATAATATAAGACAAATCGGAGTGCCGTGTGTCTGCATCAGTGTCGTTCATCCTCAGATTTCCAGGATTATACACAATAAAAAAAACTAAATCATCCCAATATTTGACCCCAGAACGTTTTTACTTGTTTTATTCCAGGGCATCAAATTATGCACTTGTCAACGTGACAATAATCAAAAGATATTTGAGAGCACATTTACGTTTTCTACTTGACGTCTGTGTTAGAAACTAGAGAAAAAAAACAGATTGAAAATGTTCTGCTGAAGGAAGATTTGACTACTATAATATAATGGTTTTAATGTATTTACTTTAGTTGAAAGCTGCAGATTAAACACAGTTTTTTTAGCTTTGTTTAAATTAACGAAAATATCGGAGTTGGTGTTTCTTTGCGACCGATCACTTTCAATGCATTTTGCATAAAGTACTGCCCATCAATTCCTATACGCCACATATAATATAAGATGTGGTATGATTGTCAATGAAACAACAGACCCCAAAGGAAAAGTATATGAACAACTGAAGGTTACCGCAAGGCCTTAAAAAATTAGCAAAGCCCATACAAGCGTAAAGTAAACTATAAAAGGCCCCGAGATTACAAAATATCAAACTAATTTTGGCCTACATACAAGTTGTGAATCAATTCAGCAGGGACTACCAACATCCTACGATTAAGCGGGGTAAAACTAGGTTCTTTTTAGTTGTTAAATGTCCCTCTCTCTGTTTATCTCTGGCAGTGAAGACAATGTCGTGTTCCCAATAATTTACCTTGACAAAGAGAAGCATTACGTATACAATATTGTTATGGTAAAATCCTATGGAAAAAGCAGGAATACGTTAACAGGGAAAATGATTCAAATGATTAAAGCATAATTAGTATATGCATTCGTCTTTTAGTTTCTACCACTAAAAGTGTGAATGCATATAGCGTATTGTGCAGTGGCCAATATTACAAAGAAAGGCAGAACGAGGAAGAATAATACACAGGAAAATCTGCAACATATGTTTTAATATGAAAAAACAGATGTTTTTCATATGTTCAAAAACATATGAAAACGTATGTTGAGAACCCCTCATAAAAAACATATGATAAACATATATTGCATTTTTTCCTGTGTAAATGTTTGTTGCTCAATATTTAATGGAGGATATTACAAACAAACATAAGTATTATGGATAAAAGTATAGAAATGGTATACCGAGAACAGTGCATTACAAGGTTTGTTGTATGGCAAATTTTATGGAAGAGTAGTATAGTTCAATAGGGGTCTGTCTATACCGGGAAAACTTGACTTCAGACATGCAGATGTTACATATAAGATTCTTGAGGCTGGAAATATATTATATAGCTACCCGTTTTACAGTCAAATATGGACGGAGATAATGAGAGCTATGAACAAGAGCTATAAGTGTTCGGTAAACAGGAAATTGATGAGCCATGGCTGTGAAAAAGCATCACATGGTATAACAATGAAGATTGTTAGTAAATTTCAGGAAGCTCTTTTTTGAAGTTTCTGAGAAAAATGCGACAAAAATTTCGTGGAATGAATGGAAAAGGTAAAGCAGTATAACACTCCCTCAGGCAAGGATATAAAAAAGAGTCACAATATAACAGATGATAGATATTTATAAGCAACACACATAGGGCAACATCATAATGCAGGGGCGGATCCAGCCATTTATAAAAGGGGGGTGGGGTGGGGGTCCTAATCCAGGATAAAGGGGGGGTTTCCAACTATATGTCTCCATTCAAATGCATTGATCGTAAAAAAAAGGGGGGTTCAAACCCCAAGACCCCCCAACCAACCAATTGGCAGAGAAGCAACAAATACCAATTTTCAAGTCTTTGGGTTATCTCAGCAGCTGGGAATGACACCAAGACCTTCCACAATGAGGGTCTGGATGGGGTTTACAGAATAGAGAATAATGGGCAAAAAGTGCAGAATAGAGGACAAAAAAAAGAGAATAGACAAAAATAGACAAAAAAATAGAAAATAGAGAATAATGGGGTGTTAAAATATAAAGTATAGAGAATAATCATGATAATGGGGAAAATAAATAAAGAACAGGGAAACTTGGTCTAAAAAATTAAAGAATAAAGAAATGAAAGACTCCCACTCCCTCCCTTTTCCAGAGGGAGAGAAAGAGACCATCAAGGTCCTATGCCATTAAGAGTATAACATTCTTAGGTAAAAGTTGCTAATACTATTAAATATAAACACAATAGCGTATAACTTTTAATAATTTATCAAACATAATATTACATTGTACTGCAATTTAAAAACATTTAACTAAAACAACTATATCAACAAATCACAAATATCAAAGTGGTTGAGTTTACAGAGTCTTTGTTTGTCTTCAATTAAGATCTCAAGATATTGATAAATTTTAAAATATGGAATATAAAACTAAAACTTATATGAAAGTAAAATACTGACATGTCAAACTTAAGAGTGTAATTATAATAAAAAGTTCTAAATCTATTAAAAGTCCATCTTTTTCTTCAATATTCACAACAGAAACAAATTTGAGCAAGACTATAATGTACTAGCTCACATCTAAAACAAAAGACACCCAGATAGTAAAGTCATTTCCATATCATGGATCTGTCTATTACTGTACCTTTTATAATTTTTCTCCTTCCTCGATTATTCATGTACATGTTGGTGAAATCTTTAAATAACTATGGGTAACAATTTTTATAAGTACATGAAGTAGCAGTTAATGATTTGAATTCCATTTTTGTGAGAACATTGATAGAAGTCAATTGCACTGTTATAAAAAGACTACAAGAAAAATTTATTTATTTTTTTATCAGTCAGGGGCATTACTTAAACAAGTAACTTTTAAAATTACCTATACAAGTAATGTTGAAAACGAGGCTATTTTTAATATTACTTATATAAGTAACTTTTCTAAATATTATTTTTATAGGTGTCCAATAATACAGATTTTACTAGCTTTAACAAATTTTCACAGTCATCTGGTTATTTTTCCCTTGAAATATAAAATCTAATCCTTCTATAACACTAATTGCCTTTCTGACGCACTTATCTTTCTTATCGACGCTTCTGGGTCTAAAGATTGGTCTCTCGATACTATTAAAATATCATTTTCCTTGAAAATCTTGAAGGTAGCTATAGACAGATAGAAATAGATAGAAACTTGTGATTTAATTAAGACTTGAAGTAAGTTATAATTTGTAACCCAAAACAATTACATGTGTTCCTTAAATAAGTGTTATTACTAATTCTTTCAAAGATGTATAAAATGACTTATTCAAGTAATATTTTTGTCATTATATTTTAAGTAACCCTTTATCTCTATATTCCTCTCAAATTTAATAAATTCATAATTTTATGATATATAAATGAAGTAAAAATTCACGAAAACTACATTTAGTCCATGGTTTTATTGAAATTTAAAATAACTCTATTGAGTAATTTCATAATTTTTAAAAACAAAAATTACCTATATAAGTAACTAAAAAAAATAACTTGTTTAAGTAACGCCTCTGACTGTTTATTAGATTAAACTAAATTTACATTTTAAAGCTCTTTGAAGGCTTTGCACACTTGACTTAAACAGCTTTGCATTGTGTTGTTTCTAAGAAAAAGCTATTTTATGTAATTGTTGGAGTGTCCTATTTCAAACTTTCAATCATGGTGGCAGTCATCTTGGATTAAGATTATTGACATCAAAATCACAAATTTTACGTAGAAACATAAAACAAACATCAGTGCATAAAAATACAAGTAATTGTTGTTAAATAGTTTTCAAGAGGAGATTGTTTAAAATCTATTTTATATGAATCTTAACTTAACAGTTCCAGTCATCCCAGGATTTTAGATTGACATTAAAATACTTAATTATCTGAAGGACCGTCATATTATTCTCTATGAATGCATCTACAAGAGCTTCAGAAATTTAGAAAAGCTTCATCACATATACAAAAAAAAAAATTTTCCAGAGGGGTAGAACTGTTTTGCATAGATGTCATTTTCAGGGGCATATACAGGATTTTTTAAAATGGGGTGTAAAATCTAAAATGGAATCAAAACTATCAAGCAGAGCAAGGTGAAAATAATTTGGACAATTTTATGCTAAATAAGATACTGTGGATTCATTATTATTCATTGGATACCAATTTTCGTGGATTTCGAGTGTATAGATGAACCACAAAATTAAATGTTCAACGAATGACAAATTTCCTATAGGCATATATGCAAACTTCGGCAAAACCACGAAATTAACTATCCACGAACATGTTAGTTATCCTTAATCCACGAAAATTGGTACCCACGAAAATAAGTGAATCCACAGTATATTTTCCTATCAAAGGGGGGCATACACCCTCTATGCTGCCCCTAAATCTGCCACTGATTTTGATTTCATATTGGCATAAATATTCCAATGGTAGGATCACAAAATCATTGTCCATACTGTTCAGTGTGTAAAACAGTTTTACTAGGTGAGCCTGCTTAATGATTTCAAATGGTTGTATTTTGTCATTTCAAAGTTCAATTTGTTAAGGAGTTTCAGAGGACTTGTCAAAAATTTCAGACAAATTACCAGTTCCAATATTGAATGGGTCTGATTGGATAAAATCCTGTAATAGATTATTGGCACACAAGTAAAATTCAATGACCCAAAGGTTTTAGAGGAAAAGATGACACCAGTGTTCTAGTGATGGCAGTTGATTATTTTGAAACTGAGTTTGATCCTGTTTTTATACTACTTCTTGTGTAATTTGGTGGTCCTTTTTATGACAAACTGGAGACCTGCCAGGAATGAGAAAAGGAAAATCTGCATCTGTTACATATAAATTTCTTGTTCAAGAAGACTGTTCAAATTGTAATAACCCTGTTAGAAAATCAATTATTTTATAAATACTAAAATAACTATGTGTACTTAAAAATGAAATTTTCATTGATGATTTTAATTTTTACTTTGACAAGTTTTTACTTACCTGTATGCTCTCTTCAAACAGAGACTAAGCTTGCCATAAAAGGACCAAGTAAAAAAAAAATAATTTAAAAATTTTGGATGGTTTATGAAAACTATCAATACTTTTAACTGTCCTTTCTGTTCAGCAACATATAATGAATTCACATATTTATAAGCTAACTGACTGATCTTAAAATGTCCTCTCACGCACATCTTTTCAATTTGTACATATTTTTTATAGTCTCAATGAATTACTATGTTTAACAGAATTTAAAAAAAAAATCATACATTCTTGTCAGTCTACCTGAAAGATGTAATAGAATTTGACCTCACACCTAGGCTCTTTTTCTGACTAGATTTTGCGGAACTAAAGACAGGCACAAATGGTTTAGACAGAGTTCCATTTTGGGTAAAACTCTGACTTCTGCCATTGACTGTAGTAGGAGTTTCCCACTTGAAGAAGCCACACCCATTCCGATTACCAGAGCTGTTATATCCAGATGTCCCACAACAAAAGAAAAATCGTCCCATATTTGGACCAGGTGTCTGTGCCATTCTTCTCTTTGATCTTTTACCACATTTACATAGTGGTGGAGTCCCTTTCATTCCAGACAAGTTCACAGAATTGTTACTTTGTCCACCAAATGGCGTCTTGAATGTTCCTAAAGTACTGGATGGTGTTTTAAATGATGATAATGACAAAGACACAGATGGAGTAGTATTTGGAGTTTTTCCAGAAGGCACCGATTGATTTCTACTATTTCCTGGAGTATTTACAGGTGTTTTCAAGGAATCAGAATATACTGACAAAGTTCTAGAAGGAGTCATTGTAACTTCTTTTATATTTCTTTTGGATGTATTTGAATATGAGGCCTTAATTAGGGGTGTTTTGAATGACTCAGTTGGGGGTGATGGTGTTTTAAAAACAGGGAATGATTTAGAGGTTATTCCATTTCTTGAAGTAACAACAGTTTCAGATTTAGGTGGTGAAGTGTAAGGTATTTTAGTTAATTCACAAGATTGAACTTTCTGTTGAGATAATTCTGTCTCAGATCCACTGGAATTTTCTTCTGCACTTTTTCCTGGAGATGAATAAAATTTTTGCACAGCAATTCCAACGGTATTGTTGCTCTTCCTAAAACCGTCCTCTGACTTTTGACCAGATTTTTTCAAGGGCGACCCCTTTCTGACCATTTGAATACTGTTGCTTCTTATGACACATTTTTGTGGTTTCTGATGACACTGTATTATTGGTGAAGAATAAGGGATTTGTGGATATGCTTCAGTGATCTTTGAAGGTGATATTTGTTTTTTAGTTGTTGGAACTCTTTTTGGAAGAGGTACATTTACACTAACTTCTGTCAGTCTATTGTTTCCAGTAGATTTAAGACCATTGACAAATGCATCTGTTTCAACTTCAGGATCAACATAAATTTGTGAAGGATTAAATTTCCCTGGAATAATTCTTTTGGCCTTCACCTTGGTCAACTTTTGATGTGAAGGTGATCTCTTGGTTGATTTTGAACATTGAATAGGTGATATTTCACTTATCAAGATTTTAGATGAGCATGAACTTGCTATAGGAATTCTGCTTTTTCTCTTACGTTCTGGAGTTTCCGTTGCAACATTAATTAGAATATTGTCCAGTTCCTGACTGCTAGCTATTGCATGATCCAAATCATCATCAAAACATAATTCATCATCTGCAATGTCAGATTGTTTTCTCCGTTTATGTACAGGACTTTTTGATGGCGTTGTTTGTTTCCTTTGGTGAATCTTATGTTTGTTGGGAGTTGGTTGTTTTATTGGAAGGTACTTATCCCCACCAGGAATGTTTGACTGAAAAACAAAGATGTGAAATTATTTTACACAATTTATGAATTAAAATAGATACAAAAAGGGGCATTATTAGCTGTCAAATTCATGATCAACGACTAACTCAAATCCTCATATTTGATTTACAACATACTAAAACATATATCCAAATTACAAAACCTCTAAGAGAAACAATTAACAATGCATGGACTTGTTATAATGAATCAACATTTTGTGTGTTTTTTATTCTAGATGCCATCTAATTAACAATCAAAATGACAACTGAAGAATGCTGATTGCCATATGACTTGCTATAAACATAAACATAAATATGAATACACAGACAGGCGTGTCCAATTGTATAATGACAATTTTTCTAGGTCTGTTTGATTTCACGTTATTGATTAAAAACATCTGTAAATCATTGTTTTATCTGATTAAGAATTTAATAACTGAACATGCTTTACACATGCATAAACCATCTAGAGTTGAGGGTTAAATTTTCAAATAATATTAACTGAAATCATAAAGTCCATGTTTTGCTATGGGGTTTGAAAACTCCAAAAATCACTCAGATTAAAAATCAAAAAGGCAGGTGCACATCATCATCTACTGTTTACAAATCTGTGCAAGTGTAGTGAAATTCTGTCAATACATTTTTTTAAAAAGATTTATGGAATGACAAAGTGGTCTCAATGTGTAGGCTACAGAATAAAATTAAAGAAATATTTCCAATGAGTCAACTATAGAAAAGCAACAGCTTTTTAAAAGATAACAAACAAGAATGTCTATAGTACATGGATGCCCCACTCCCACTATCATTTTCTATCTTCAGTGGAACGTGAAATTGGGGTCAAAACTCTAATTTGGCATTAAAATTAGAAAGATCATATTATAGGAAACATGTGTACTAAGTTTCAAATTGATTGGACTTCAACTTCATCAAAAACTAACTTGACCAAAAACTTTAAAATGAAGCGGGACAGACGGAAGGACAGGCGAATGGACGAACGAACCGAAAAACATAATGCCCCTAGGTGGGGCATAAAAACAAATAAAATGATAACCAATACATATAATGTAGACATTTACTTGTCATACCCCCTTCAGTGTTTTGGTTATATTTAGTATACAGCCATCTTGTATCATTCTGTATGCCAGTATTGCTGTGTTTCTAGAATCATGAAGACCTTAAATTAAAAATTTACAGATACATAAAAAATTCAAAGCTACAATTCTTCAAAGAAGATAATGATCAGTCTTGTAGTGAATGTTGGTTGAGTTCTGATTTGTAGTGAATATTGGTTGAGTTCTAACATGGATATTGGTTGAGTTCTGCGGCTCTTTTCACAAAAAAAAAGAGTAACAAGAGTGCACACGCTGAAATGTCTGGCCTTCTTTTCTAATCATTGATATTATGTTGATAGTCCTAAATATAAAGCTTTCTTACAACTGTCACATAAACTTAACATTAACCAAGAAAACTAAACATTGACCAATGAACCATGAAAATGAGGTCAAGGTCAGATGAACCATGCCAGGCAGGCATGTACAGCTAACAATTCTTCCATACAACAAATATAGATGACCTATTGCTTACAGTTTAAGAAAAACAGACCAAAACACAAAAACTTAACACTGAGCAATGAACTGCGAAAATGAGGTCAAGGTCAAATAAAAACTGCGCGACTGACATAAAGATCATAAAATATTTCCATACACCAAAAATAGTTGACCTATTGCATATAGTATTAGAAACAAGACTAAAACTCAAAATCTTAATTTTCACCACTGAACCATGAAAATGAGGCCAAGGTCAAATGACACCTGCCAGCTAGACATGTACACCTTACAATCATTCCATACACCAAATATAGTTGACCTGTTGCTTAAAGTGTAAGAAAAACAGACCAAAACACAAAAACTTAACATAAGTAATGAACCATGAAAATGAGGTCAAGGTCAAATAAAATCTGCCAGACTGACATGTACATCATTAAATATTTCCATACACCAAATATAGTTGACCTACTGCATACAGTATTAGAAAAACAAACCAAAACACAAAAACTTAACATTTAGCAATGAACCTTGAAAATGAGGTCAAGGTCAAATAAAACTTGCCAGACAGACATGAACATCATACAATATTTCCATACACCAAATACAGTTCACCTATTGCAAACAGTATTAGAAAAACAGACCAAAACACAAAAACTAAACTATGACCACTGAACCATGAAAATGAGGTCACGGTCAGATGACACCTGCCAGTTTGACATGTACCCCTTACTATCATTACATACACCAAATATAGTAGACCTATTGCTTATAGTATCTCAGATATGGACTTGACCACGAAAACTTAACCTTGTTCACTGATCCATGAAATGAGGTCGAGGTCAAGTGAAAACTATCTGACGGGCATGAGGACCTTGCAAGGTACGCACATACCAAATATAGTTATCCTGTTACTTATAATAAGAGAGAATTTAACATTCCAAAAAATCTGAACTTTTTTTTCAAGTTGTCACTGAACCATGAAAATGAGGTCAAGGACATTGGACATGTGACTGACGGAAACTTCGTAACATGAGGCATCTATATACAAAGGATGAAGCATCCAGGTCTTCCACCTTCTAAAATATAAAGCTTTTAAGAAGCTAGCTAACGCCGCCGCCGCTGCCGTAGCCGGATCACTATCCCTATGTCGAGCTTTCTGCGACAAAAGTCGCAGGCTCGACAAAAATACTTGTAAGTTATACACATTTCAGTATAACTTACGATCAATTCTAATCGTAAGAATTTTTGTGAAAAGAGTCGCTGATTTGTAGTGGATATTGCTTGAGTTCTGATATGTAGTGGATATTGGTTGAGTTCTGATGTGCAGAGGGTATTTGTTAAAATTTGATGTGAAGTGGATACTTGTTGATTTTATGATGTGTATATATAGGATATATTCATTGAGTTCTGATTTGTATGTCAGAGCAACAAAAAAATATCACTTCTTTTGTCTTAATGAATAAACACCTCTCATTCTTTTGTCCAATTCTATGGATATTATCACATGATACGGATTTCAGTGATAGAGTTACATGTTTCTAGAATTACCTTTATTGTTTAAACAAAAAAAGAACCTTGCAATACTTAAAACCATAATCGTATTTGGGGCAAACAACACTGTAGTGGAGTATGGTTGCAATCCTTAATTATAAAATGTTTCACCTAGTATCAGAAAACAACTATTTTTTGTACAAATTTTGGTCTATTTTTGTAACTAAGAACCTGACCATTGATGTATTGATTTCAAAACCATGAGGTCCGTTTCTTATCATATATGAGTATAAATTCAAGTATGGTTGTAATCTGATATAAAGCATTTCAGCTAGCATCCAGAAACCATTTTTATTTATCAAATTTTGGTCTATTTTTAGAAACAAAAACAAAAAGTATTTGAGTTAGCATTTGGAAACAAAAATGACTGACAGACAGATCAAAAACTATATAGCCCTTTGCTACTACATGGACTGATCTGTTTAGCTCCATTTGATTAAGTATGGGGTGCATTTAAATCAAAAGGAGCTAAACAGGCAAGTCCAAACTGTCTCAAGTCAACTATGCATTAAGTATTTACTATTACTAAAGTTGTAGAATAATTAGATTATTTATAATAATTTTTACTGAAAATGTATTATTTAAATCTTGCTAGGACAAATCCAGATGGTACTGAGTAGTCTTTAAGGTATCACTAAAATATAACTACAGATTAGATTAAATCATACCAACCAGAATGCTCTCTTCCTTCAAAATCTATACCTAAATCTTTCAAGGCGCCATTTAAACCATTTGGTTTTCTGCTGTAAAACTTCTGTAAAGAAATAGAAATTACAATTAAAAACTATAAGATTTGTAATTCTCATGTTACAATATGCATCCCATTCCAGAGCACCTGAGATCTTCCCCCTTTTTTGGTGGGGTTCGTGTTACTCAGTCTTTAGTATTCAATGTTATGTTTTTTGTATTGTTGTTTGTCCTTTGGTCATTTTTTGTTTTCTGCCATGACATTGTCAGTTCTTTTTTGACTTTATGACTTTGATTGTCCCTTTTGCATCTTTCTCCTCCCTTTCACACCTGTGTTATTGTTTTGTTAAAATACCAAAGGCCTTCAGAGTCTGAATCTGTCAACTGGCAAAAATATGAAACATTAAGATCATTAGCAACAGTAGCAGCCATCTATCGCTTAGGTTTCAACAAGAACAAAAAAAATAAATAGGTGAAAATTATCAACATGATCAATAGGCAAAAATTATAGAGTCGACTGAAGCTACAATGTGTTGGTCATGTGACTTATTCTGGATTACATTATTATATCCATTTTTCATATATATGTATTCACAGTCACTCATATTTTCCAGAATTGAATTGCAACTTCACCATGTGAAATTCTATTTACTATCCTTGCCATGCTTTCTAATTGCAAATGAAATCCACAATAAATTTTGATATTGTTACAAACCATCTTCAAGTATGTTTTTAAATTGATTATAAACTGTTACAAATATATTCTTTTAGTTCTGTTAACATGTTAATTTAACCAAAAAAAATGTAAATTGTTGTTATCTTTGAATTGAACAGCAAATTCTACTATTGTTTTTGACTTGATTTATTTATATATTATGTTTGCATTCAAGCATTCATATATTTCATTAGAATATACTGTAAAATACTGTATTTTCACTTCTTTCAGTTTACATAACAAACAAACCGACTGAACTACGTCTGGTGGAATTATAATTTATAATCTTTAATCACAAGTGGTTCTTTTTTATAATTTGCAGAGATTGTGATTCAGTCCTTCTGTTACACTTTCTGAGTCAGGCTCAGCATTTGACTTATTTGTACATCTTTATATTCTTGCTTTTTCAGCTATTTACAGTTTCTCTCTGTCTACTTCAGTTTTAGCCAAAACACAAAGAAATGGGCAAAAGTCGTCATTGAAGGACAATATCTACTATTAAGAATCAACTGACAATCCCTGGGGTTACAAAATTTTTATTTATTGTACTTTTCAAGATTATAGCTTAATGTGCATAAAAATGGTAAACATTGTCATTAATGGGCAATCACTCCTATACTTTTCTGCCATGTTAAATGATTTTAAGACCTTGTCTTGTGGTAATTTTTGCAATTCATAAAAGTTTTTCTCTATTGTATAATGTTTTCCAGATTCTAGCTATAAACTGTGATAATTTCTTAAACATGACAATTCAGGGGAAATAACTCCAGGAAGGATTGTCTGATTTTTCTTATAATTTGGGTGTTAATACATCTGGACAATAATTTTTACTTTGTCCGTTTTCCTCTAACTGCTTTTGTTTTTGAAATATAAGACAAAAACTGCAGTAAACTATATGATTTACTTTAACCTGTGACAATAATCTTATCTGAAAGGAACAAATAGGATTGTTCGTTGAGTACTGTCAAATTTCAAAACATTTGACTTCATAGTTTAAAAGTTTATGATTGATGATGGTTCACAGATGTCAGATCCCGAAAACACATTAATTGATGGCATTAGCTCTTATGCTCTTTAAGGCCATTTAAGCTAAAAAAGCAATGGTAAAATTGAGAATGGAAATGGGGAATATGTCAAAGAGACAACAACCCGACCAAAGAGCAGACAACAGCCAAAGGCCACCAATGGGTCTTCAACGCAGCGAGAAAATCCCACATCCGGAGGTGGTCCTCAGCTGGTCCCTAAATAAAATTGTGTACTAGTTCAGTGAAAATGGACGTCACACTAAACTCCAAAACATATAATTGAACTAAAATTAAAAAACATACAAGACTAACAAAGGCCAGAGGATCCTGACTTGGGACAGGCGCAAAAATGTGGCAGGGTTAAACATGTTTTGTGAGATCTCAACCCTCCCCCTATACCTCTAGCCAATGTAGAATAAAGAAACACATAGCAATACGCACAGTAAAAATTGTGTCTCACAAAAAGAGCAAAAATGAGGAAATAATCAAAAACATTAAAAAGTTTCCTTTCAATCTACCAAAAATCAAGTTTGACCACTACGTCTTATTACATACATTTGACATACAATATTTTTCCATTCTTGACATTTTTATTTATAATACAGTTTAGGGCTGCTCCAAAAAATTCAACTGTTTGAGTGGAGTATTATTGTATCTAACTCAATGGAGTTGGATCTATTCATATACATAATATTTTTTGTTTACTTGTTGAAGCTATAAACATGATAAAAATCCCATCCTCGAGCATTGTGCAAAAAAACACATCTGTCATAAATTTTCTGTAATTGTGTCAGTATTTGATATTTAGGTCAGCCAAAAGTTTAAAAGACTGCATCATCCCTTGAAATATCAGTTAAATTAGAATAAAAACATTATATAGGCGTGGATTTTTCGTAAAAAAAACATATTGTAAATTTTTTTTTGACACTTTCAAGCAGTCTGGGTAATTTTTCTTGCATAGATCACCAAGACAAACAAAGTTCAACTCCGCTTATCAAATTAATAAACTTCTAGGTAGCTTTGAGATATATCCAGCTACTATACAAACCCTGTAGGTAGCTCTGAGATCTATCCAACTATTAAGTTGACAGGGTCTTCCTATCTGTTTTCTTCTTAATTCATTATATAAACACACACCTAAATCCCAATCTAAAATAAGAAAACAGGATTTAGTTTATTCTGGACAATATCAATAAAAAAAGACAACATAATTTGAGTAAACCCAAAACTCTGCTCTGACGAGTTGACTGTATAGAAACTATCTGAACATGAGCGTCTACTGCTTCTTAACATACAATAATCATTTGTTTTTTAACCTCTTACTTTGGGCTATTGTCATTCCAGTTTACAAACCTAGCTGGATGATCAGTATGGATGATGATGATGATGATAAATCGGTTTTTAACATCAAATGGCAAGTTACAGGCAATTAGGAATAGAACATCTTTAAAAAATATGTTATATGAATATGAACCTTGCTTTGTACCAGACTAACAATCTGAGCTGGAGTTTTAATGTGCTAGTTTATAAGGTAAAATTCCCCAAGAAAAATGGCATGCTACCCAGACACATAATGACTCCCTGCCTATCTGTCTTTGCTTTAACTCCTAAATGCAGTGTGCATGGCACAGATACAGCAAATACCAATTCTCAAGTCTTTGGTTTGACATGGCCGGGGATCAATCACACAGCTTCCTGCACCTGATGCAAATACCCTACAATACAACACTGAGGCAGTTTTTTTTACCTCTTTGGTCATAAGACCATTGTTGTAAGGTCAATGCTTTATGCTCTTGTAAATGAAGTGAAAACAATATGAAAAAAGTTAGTTACTAGCTACAATTGATTGTGTAAATATAACACTGTTACAATTCCCTTGACACCTTAGTCTACAAGCCAAATTGACCATGTGTTCACTGTTGGTAGGTGACATTCCATTAAAATACCCCACCTTTACTCTCCAAGAGTGAATAGAACAGTCAACAAACTCATTTACAGGTGACATTTATCTGTTTCTTTTGATGGTTGTGTAAACAAATCAACTTTCAAGCTATCTTACCTGACCATGTGACTATTGTTGCTAGGTGACATTTGTCTGTTTCTGTTGATGATTGTGTAAACACAACACCCTTTTTCTCTTTAAGAGAGTCCAGCCAGCGCACAAATTTCCTGATACATAGATTTAATGGAATACCATTGTCTACCTGATCCTGTAAAAAATATAATAATAAAAATACAAAACTCCAAAATAAATTCAAAAAGGGGAAGTCCATTAAGACTTGAAAAAACCGATTATATTTATCAACCAACTGAACGATTGAAAAACAACTGTCATATATTCCTGACTTGGTACAGATATTTTCTGAAGAAAAGTGGTTTACCCTGTTTAATAACTAGCTAAACCTCCAACTTGTATGACAGTTGTATATACATTGTAGTTCCATTATATTGACAAGCAAATGGCTTTTGTGTGAGCAATACTTGCAGACAAAATTTTTTAACATGACAATAATTGGGATCCAGCAGCCAAATTGTGTAAACATGTGTCATCATGATCATAGATGTACAACATAAAACTAAATAAAATAATCAAAACAATCATAAAATTAAATCTAAAAAAAATGCCAATAAATATTTCCTGTATAAAACATATATATATATATACATGTATATGCTTTGTAAGAAATTAAAATACTTAAATATAAACAGTATATCATATTTATTATGTAAAGCTGTAGGGTTGTTGTCTCGGTGATCCATTTGATCAAAGAATGTCATTAGACAGCCTGGTGAGATCTTTACATGTAATTATGACTCTCACATAGACACTCTGTTTCTATGTTGGCCATATTGGATTCTTGCTATGACATACCTGTGTTATACCAATCAGCTGTCTACAGAATTCACTGAGGTTTGGTTGTTCTTGTGGTTGTAGTAATGACATACCTGTGTTATACCAGTCAGCTGTCTACAGAATTCACTGAGGGTTGGTTGTTCTTGTGGTTGTAGTAATGACATACCTGTGTTATACCAGTCAGCTGTCTACAGAATTCACTGAGGGTTGGTTGTTCTTGTGGTTGTACATAAAACTGAAACTCACTTTCTATCTTTCCTGTGGAAGTGTTCAGTAAAACTGCAGGAAACTCAACTAAAAAGTACCAAGCATAGCTATAGCACTTTATAAGAAATACCAAGCATAACTATTGCACTTTATAGGAAATACCAAGCATAACTATAGTCCTTTATAGGAAATACCAAGAACTACAGCTTTTTATAGGAAATACCAAGCATAACTATAGCCCAACATTCTGAATAGTCAATTTGACTAAAATTATAATTTGAATTCATATAAATTATAATACAAAAACGATTGTTTTCTATATACATGTATAAGATCTCTCTGACATATCATGACTCGTTAATTCAAATGCATGCTGTTGTGGCCAAAAAGTTATCTCAGTCTATACGGAATGAGATTCCTCTTTGGCCACAACAGCATGCATTAATAATAAATGAAGGTAACACTACATTTTGCTTACTAGGTTGTTGAAATTGCTTGTGTTCTGTTAATTGTCTACATACATCTGCTTATGTTGCTCTTCTTCATTCACCGAAAATTTTATTTTGATAAATTCTTCGTTGATTTTTTTTAATTATTTGTAAAACTAATGTTTTAATACACTCTTTACTTACTGATTTCTTGTGTTCTAAATTTACCATCCTGCCAACATGTTGATTCAAAATCTAAAACCACTAAGTATGGAAATGTTTGGTCTAAAAATAGGAAAATAAGATAATTAATTACAAAATGTACATAATATATATATGAAATGTTTACCGCTGGACAAGAGAAATAACAATCAAAGTGCTTGAGAGCACTGAAGGGTAAAGATTGCATTTCTTTTGCAGTGAAAACTAAAAATTAAACATTACATTAAATCAAGCATTGGAAGGCAATACTTTAAATTGGGGATATATCTTCTTTTTTTCAACCAACGAAAATGATGGACAAAGAAAGACAACTTACTTTAACAATAACATCATTAATATTTTAAGAAAAGACCCTAGATTCATGCACCATGCACAATTTATGTAATTTTCTTGACAAGCATTGTTATACACCAACACATCAATTTGTAACTTGAATATCTGAGTATATTCTCCATTGATAAATTTCTTGAAATGTTCATGTATAGTTTCTTTAGACGTTGTGCTCAATGCACTGTGCTTTTTTCTTCTTCTCAAAAGTAGTGATAGTCTGGAAAATTGATAAATATCAAGCCAACCAAATAAGGGTTTTTATTGCGTTAATGCAATCTTTAACCAAATATATACATGTATAATGCATACATTGTTACTGCATAGTCAAACTAATCTCCTTTTCTAACCTTTGAAAGAAATGACTGAGAATCAAATTTTGTTTATTTACATCTGTGTGATGTACATGTATGTTCGAAATATAATTTTTAAATAAAAATGGTAAGGTAAAACTCCTCTCCTATATGTATATAACTAACCTCTAACATGACTGAGGTATCCTAATATAAAGCAAGTTACTTGGCTTGATTGAGAGTAGTCAATCATATCAAACTACATTTAACCTAATTGTATGACCCCAGCAAGTCCAAAAAAATCTGTTAGAAAGCATAGCATTCTCAGACTAGTTTGTAAAGTTCTTCAGATAAAAGTTTTAACTCTTAAAAAAATATTATGTGTACCAAGAAAACATTTTTGAGGCATGTTTTGACTTCCCAAAACTTAAGAATTTCAGTTGTTGTAAAAAATAATTACTTGTATAAGTAAATTTTTGGAGATGCAAACATTTAAAAGAAAACAAAAATCAGACAAATTTAATATACAAGTAAATATTCTCTATATCTTCAAGTATATAAAAATGACCCCAGACTGTATGATGAATACAAGTGTACACTTACCTGTTGATGGTTTTTTACTGGTACTGGAATTTATACTTCTTTTTCGTAGTAATCCTAATTCTCTGTAAAATAGAATAAAGTTTCTTACAATAAATTTTACAAAATTTGGTATTTGTTTTTCATGTCGATGGCATGACATAGATTTTCAAATGACGGTTAGGCTTAACACATTCAGGAATTTAATCATAAACACACATCAATAATGTGGCTAATGTCCAAAGACAGGAGCCAATAATCCAGTAGTTGTTGGTTTCTGTCTGTCATTATTGCATTTCTTTTATTCTTTCAGTATAAATTAGGCCATTGGTTTTCTTTTTGAATTGTTTCACAATCTGTTATCTCAAGCTTTTAATGGCATACCGGTACTTTACAATATGAGTTTTGCTCATTGTTGAAGGGCATATGGTGACCTTAGTTGATTGTGGTTGTTTACATGTACATCTTTGTTCTTTGGTGGATAGTTGTTTAATTGGCAGTCATACCAAATTTCCATTCTTTACACTTAATATATTAGACATAACGGGGTATTAGAAATAAACATTCTGATATGTATCTTATTCCAGTTTACTATTTTAAGTCTATTTACCATTACCATGATTACTATTCTTTTTCATAGTAAACCTAATTCTCTGTTTAAAATATAGGAAAATATATGCCGTTGCAACTTAATTACATAGCCTGATGATATGTAGCCTGACCGGTTTCAATCCTTTAATGGACCTTCTTCAGAGGCTGAATGGTTTAATTGTGTTTTTGGTTTCTTTATATAGTGATCCTTCGACAGATAATATCTGGCAGTTCTGACGGATCAGTTTATGCGTAACCGGATATTTAATCCCGAGTTATCCGGTGTGTTATTGGGTTAACCAGCGGATAGATTATCCGGGGGATGGGTTAACCGGTGGAAAGGTTATCCGGCAGATGAGTTATCGGGCGGTTGAGTTATCCGGCGGATGAGTTTGTCTGGTGAAAGAATTTGTCCGACGGAAGTGTTTTACAACAGTGAAACTGAAAGTCTGAACTTAATTTGAGTTTCAGGAGAGGCATTTTAAGTTATTGTGTATTAGTAACAACAAAAAACATAGATAAAATTCTCTGTTTACTATCCAAACCCATATTTCAAAAATATGTCTCATATAAGTGTAAAGAATGGAGATGTTTTATTACTGTCATTTAAACAACTATCATAAAAAAAACCCAGCCTTCAAAAATGAGCACAAGCCAGTTTGTCAGTGTCATACCATATAGTCCGCTATAAAATGCACTGACATGCATGACATAATGTGAAACAATTTAAACGAAAAAACCAACAGCCTGATTTATGACAAAACAATAAACAAATATGATAGACAAGAACCAACAACAACTTCTGAATGGTGGATATTCATTGGATAGAGATGGTTCAACAGAAACCACACCACCTTATCTGTCACATCCTATATTTTATGGGGATGTTGTAAACAGATCCTAGAAATTTAGATACTATCCAGGTAAACTTATCAATCCTTTAAATAAATATATTCTAAAAGGTTACCTATTCAACACTGTAATTAGGTACGGTAATTAAATCTTTGAATATTGTTTTTATTGGTATAAATATTGATTTTGTTATCATGGTTATCAGTAAATTAAAACCATACTAAATATGACACATGTTTACTTTCATGGTACTACAATCTGTTGATACCTATAGTTTGGCATTGCACAAGGTCATGTTTTTCTCTGACTGTTAATGATGTCTTTACACTAAATCCATTGGATGTTGGATGTGTACTGATTGATATTTTATTCTTAGATACATGATTTTTTTTATTAGTTGTTTATTGGCTTTGAACTAGCTGTCAGTAACTGCAAGTACTCTCAGATCTGTACTTAGTGTCCTTTTGTTGTGGGGATGTACCCGTCCACGTCCAATTTGTGTTTTTGTTAGATGTACATGTATTTCTATTTGTATCCATCTGATGAGTAATGCCTTTTTCAACTGATTTTTATAGTTTGTTCTTATGTTGTACTGTTACAACACTGTCCCAGGTTAGGGGGCGGATTGAGCCCTCACAAACATGTTTAACCACACCACATTCCTGTCCCATGTCAGGAGCCTGTAGTTCAGTGGTTGTCTTTGGTTCATGTTCGTAAATTGTTTTGTTTTAAATTAGACCGTTAGTTTTCTCAATTGAATTGTTTCATATTTTTCATGTCAAGGCCTTTTACAGCCGACCATACGGTATGGGTTATTCTCATTGTTGAAGGCCGTATGGTTGCCTATAATTGCTTACATCCACTTTATTTGAACTTTGGTGGATAGTTGTCTCATTGCCAATCATACCACAACTTCTTCATTGTCCTTATTTTTATATATATAGTACACATAGATGCATCTTAGATGCATAGATAGACTTATCACACAAACAAGATTTTTCGAAATATGTATTATTTACTTCAAACAAGGAATTAATTGAATCTGGAATAATTTTGAATTCTGGAAAATTGATTAGAAATGTATGATGAAAACTAACCCAACTAAATGGGGTTAGCCATGCATGCATGGCTAAGGTTAATTTTACTTTCACTATCATTTCAGTATGAACTAACTAACACCCCTTAGCCATGCGCGCATGGCTAACCCTATTTAGTTGGGTTAGTTTTCATCATAAATTTCTGATCAATTTTCCAGAATTCAAAATTATTCCAGATTCAAATAATTCCTTGTTTTCACAGCAAGGTCTTGCAGCATGGTTGCTAGGAGAAATAATTTTATCCAAGGACTGGAATCGTTCAAGGCTCATTTAATTGATCAATCAGTTAGTTTTTTTTTCCTTGCACATAGATGTATTTTCGCTCATATGCAAATATGTCCGCCATAATTAAAAGTCAAACAAGATCTAGTTTAATTTTGCTTCACAATCTAAAACATTTGACGTCATAATTAAAAGTGATTGTTGATTAACGCCAGAATGTTTTTCATAGCAAATTCAGCTGAATACCCAAAAGTATAAATACATCTAAAGATGACTTTCCAATTTCAGTTTTAAGAATGAACTGTCTTGGTTGACCTGGGGACATTTGGGGAAACACTTCATATGACATTTTGAAGAGAAGATAATATTTGATTTGTGACGTTAATTCTCTCCAGGAAAAAGCATTGAGAGATTTCATTTTGATCCTATACACACAGGCACTTGTTTCTATCAATGGGGGTTTACTATCCACACTTGTACAAAAATCAATTTTTCGTACAAGGGTGCAGTGCTCCAGCTAGAAATTGAAAGGGGCAGGGTGCCAGTGGAGGGCAGGGCACTTTTTTATGATAGGAAAAGGCACTGCTCATTTTTTTGTCTACGTTTCTGTGTGTATCACGAGTTCACATTGTTTTTTTTACTGTATATGTTGACAATAAAGATAATAAGTTGTTGTTTTGATTATTTATTCTATAAAATTTGCATTAGAAAAGTCATTCATACTACATGTTCATAATACATGGCAATACACGTTCATACATCCAGTGTTTTCCATTCGGCATTTAAGCCGGGTGTGTCGACCACCTTCTTTTGAAAGCCGACCACCTTTCCATTTTAGGAGGTGGTCAGCTTTTTTTCAAATTCCGGATTTTTTTCGGTTCCGCACCGTAAAAATTTAAATACTAATCGTGCCGCACTGATTGTTTTCATTGACAAAAATGGCGGATCATCAAATTTCAATGTTTTCTTTTATTAATCGGGGGAAGAGACAGGCAGATGACGATGGTGATAAGGAAAATTCTAGGCCAAATAAGTCAACTAAAACGGATAGTTGTATTGAAATTGTTGAAATGGAATAAAAAGTATCAAAACAACGGAAAAGGCACAGAAGCAATCGTGAAGATAAACAGGTTGGGAAAAGTTTACAAACTTTTTAAGGAAACCTGTATGATTTTACATAATGGCGGACAAATTTGCATACAAGTGTAAATACGTCTATCCCCAAAGTGAGTGATATCACTTAAACGAGGGACTGTCTCTCTGGCAAGAGGTTATGTTAATTCTGTTGAAGAAAAGGAAAGAGAAAAACTTAGATTTTTTAACTCAAAAGGGGAAAAAAACGTTATATTCAGACAAACTTTTCTAAAAGTAAAAGAAGGTCCCATTATTTTTAATGATAAAGAAGATATAAGTCCAGGAATATTACAAAATTTTTGGACATGTTTTGACCATATAATACCAAATAGATGTATAGTTCTTTGGGAAAATTTTCTGTAAATAAATTAAATATGTGCTCATTTGTATCGCGTTAAATGTACCCCTCATAAAAGAGATAGTCATTACATTGAGAGGTTACCCCTCATTTGATAAATATGAACAGGACTTTAAATGGCTAATTGTCACAGAAGGAGGATATTACGGCTTTGTGTTCCAAAAATACAGCACTAAAGCGAGGAACAGGACAGAAACTTGGATCGATAAGCTATGCATATGCAAGAGGAGGGAGTCCTACAAAAGCCATATCCGAGATCCGCAAAACTAATTTGTCAAATGAATGGCTAGCAGTGATAGCAGAAGAACAGTTCAATCTTATTAAATGTGTATACAATACCAATCCTTCTTTTTGTGACCCCCTCCAACAGTAAAAAACCCAGTTGGAAAAGTTAAAAAAAAACAAAAAAACACCCGGTTGCAAGTAATTTTTTCACAACACCCACCTTACCTTAGTGAAAAATGGAGAACACTGACATCACATCACTATTAACCAAAAGAGTCAAAATAACTATAACTCCCCTCCAAAAAAAAACAGCATAAACTAAACATCTCATATTTTAGAGTTGTCTCATTTAAAATTTTCAGCTAGAGTTTGGCCCTCTCAACTTTTTTCATTGTTCTTGTCAATGAATTATTTAGTATAACTTCATCCTATTAACTTGTCATGATAGTTTAGCTAGTCCTAACTCGATTTTTGTAGGATTACAGCTTAACAACTTTCACCAGATATAATCATAATCTAAATTGACAATGTCTAGATAGAACATGGATTGTAAAAGTATGATTATCAAAAATGAATTGCAATATATTTTTTTTGGTATGTTCAAAGACAATTTTGATCTTTAAGGTAACATTCTTATATAATTTTGTATTTAATTGGCACTTTATTCCTATTTTCAAAGATAGATAATATTTTAGGAGCACAAATTTGTAATAAGCTAAAACAGGGGAAGTAACTCCAAAATTAATTTCCAACACGTTTACGATGAAGTTGAGATGGACGGCGTTTCTGTGAAGGCATAGTTGTATTTTGATGACTTAAATTCTATACTAAAGTCATGGAAGTCTTCATTTTTACACTCTTCCATTGGGACTTATAGATCGAAAATGCCGACCCAAGCTTAAAACACTCGCCGACATATTCATCAATTTATATTCAATTTGACAAGGTACATTGTCTTAATCAAATTACCTAGTTATTAACACCTTTGAAGTCTAATCAACTGTAATTGATTTTAATGACATGATTAACCTGGGGGCAATCACCAGGTGTCATATATGTAATTTAACTTTGTGATTAGAAATCGATGAGACAAAAAGCAATTTTACCAGTACATTGCCAAAACGGCACAAGGGTTTTTTGTGAAAAGGCGTCAGGGCAGAAGGGCACGGCTGAGGGCACCCAGGGCGTGGCGCCCTTCTATTTTGGGCTAACGAGACCACTGAGTGTGGATAGTAAACCGCCAATTGGCATTGGCAGAAACAAGTGCCTGTGCTGCTACAGCATAGTTTTAGTGTTTGTTAATACTATATAAATTCCCTGTTAAAAACCATATGCGCACACCACTTTTGTTTGACCAAAAGTGGCAGAATATTCAGAAATGATGGCGGCCACCAAATCATGGCAAATGTCAGAAGCAGAGGAAAAATAAATTATTTACAGGCTCCTGAATAAATTGGGACAGGTACTTAACATCTCCTTGTTTTTAAACATAGGATTGGGATTGAACATGTTTTTTTGGTCTTCAATCCCTAATTTAAATAGACGCAGGAATCTTTTAATTCTGAACCTTGCAAGTTGTTTTGTTGTTTTCATGCTTTGTTTTGAAATTGCCGCTGCAAATCTTCGTCCTTTTTACGCTTACTGCAACGTGCCCTTCAATATCATTTGAGTGTTTGAAAATAACTATCCTCGACCTAAATGTTTCGGCCCACACAATTTTCTTATTGGAAACATACTGAACAAGTTATAAAGTTCAATTTTATTTCAACTTAATTTCAATAGAATGATAAAAATCACATTCAGCGAAATTTTTTTTTACCTACTTATAGCATAATCAAGGATTTATATAAATCCTTGGCATAATAAACGAATATAAAATTTAGGGACGAATAGTAGAATTACAAAATGTAGGGACGAAAATAGACGTATTCAAACATATATTTAACATTGAAGCAAGGTTCATCTAAATACCGAAAGAATTGCAGCATGGAAACTTGCAAGATGTCTAAAAAAGAAAAAAGAGTAGAGTCAAAGAAAAGAAAAGCAAAGGCTTTCCTTCAGCTTGCTCATGAAGTGGACGAGGTATATTTTCACATTTTTTTGTTGTCAAAACAAAAAAATTACCCAGGCCTAAGCCTAAGGTTGAGGGGCAAACAAAAATCATAGTCAAAGTACAGACAACACCTTTGGGTAAATAAAGGGGATATCGCTAGACCAAATAAATATCGGAGAAGATCTCAGTGTTTTAAATAAGAAACTAAACATGATCTTACTATACATGATTTAAGGAATAAGAGTACTGTAGTTGAAGAGTTGCCGCTGTCAATTTAAATTAATCAGGTTGGGAACAAACCCTCTGTATGGTGTTTATACCTGTATAGAGGAATAATCCTTCTATGGTAAAATTATCCCTCTACAGAGGGGTATTTTTGTTAAGACTGGATTTAAAGCAAAATAGGGCAAAATGGCATTTTATAGTTATACATGTATAAGTCATTTCTGGAATCATGTCTTTCACCGGAAAAGATCATCAATTTGACACGCCTTTATGACATCATTTACCAGATAGAAGGCGTGCCTGTATCCCTGCTCTCTTAAAAGTTTCCAGCACTTTCAGAATTGTCATTTTGTAGGGTAGTATAGAAATAATTTATGTTCCGTTAGTACGTTATCGTGATTCCCGTACGACTGACATGTTGACTGAGGGAGGGTGACCATCTTATTAGATTTTTTTTTTTTTTTTTTTTAACGATAACAAATATTTTTATTCAATCATTTCCTGATATATAAATACCTAAGTAGCCCAGGTCGCATACTTAGGGGCCCCTGTATTTTAACAGCCTCACTTGACCAGGGAAAAAATCAAATGAATTTAAACTTACAATAGTTTTACATACATATATTTAAAAAACCAATACAATCGATTTTACCTGTTAAGCATCACTGTAATACATAACCACTATCGTATATCCGGTTCACTGACTAACATGTGTTTATTTAAACTTGAAAACTATATATTTGATTGAGAAAATTTGAATTGGAAATTATTGATGTGATTAAACAAAAATTGAAATTATTCTGTAATATATAAGTATGGATTATAAAAGGATAAAGCACATGTGGTAAGTACTAATGTATTAAGAAGCATGATATATGTGGTAATTTACTAATATACATAATATGCACAGACAAAGATTCAAATATCGATTACAATACAAATATTTCTTTCTGTAAAAATAACTTATTGTTCACTACGTTCTTTCTAAAATACAATAAGATTATTATATATGGAATCAAACACACCTTTAGTTTAGAGCAGCAGAACTAAGTATATCTTCTTATATTTTTTCGATAAAGAGTTCAATTTTTGATCTGCATATATACTTTATATCCGAGCGTAGCAAGAGTAGTTTTAATTCGTTTTTCATTTGCAATTTCAACAGGCTTTGTATAGACTGCATATTCAGTTTAATTTTATCGAATTTGCATTTATTACGTATTTTCCAAATAGCCCATTTAAAATAAAGTATTATTGCATTAACAATTATATTATTCGAATTATCTGTACAGATTCCTATTAGAATATCTTTTTCAACGAGCGTTTTATTTATTAGGTTACAAAGTTGTAAATTTCTGACAACTGTTTCTGTCAATGGTTTAACATTATTACATTGATAAAATAAATGCTCGAGTGTTTCAATATTATTATTTTCATCACATAAGTGACATTTTCCATTTGACATATGCATTATTTGCAGTCTCTTTTCGGTATATATAATCCTGTGTATACATTTCCATTGAAATTCTTTAACTTTTCTATTAATATCCATTTTACTGAGATTTAGCCAAATTTTTTCCCAATTTATATACTCGCTATACACATTTTCCCATTTTGTTTGACACTTAGGGGTCTCAGTTATGTTTATGTTTAACTGTAGATATTTTAATGTCAAATCTTTGATTTTAATGATTTTATTATCTGGATTTAGAAATTAATGGTTTTCAGAAATTTTGATTTTGTGGCTTTTTAAAGTGCGTTGAACATCGTTGTTTTTTAAAATCTGCACGAATGTTTGTGGTTATGGAACTTTTAATTCGCGAGTATTCCGAAATACAATTACGTTTATCTATTAGTTGTTGATATATTTCATTGCACGATTTAAAATCTTTGGTATTATTGTCCCATATATCACCAATAGTTTTTATTTGACTTTTTGAAAAAGAAGAATAAAATAAAGATTTGCCCTGAAATAAAATATTTGAGTTTCCAAATAATCGCTGTTTCTTTACTTCCATTTCGTTAAAGATACCCTGTGTGATACTTGTCAATTTTGACCACGATTGTAAAGTGCTTTTGTAATAATGTGGTAGGTTTTTGATCTCAAGACCTGAAAGGTCAGAACATTTACACAAAAAAAGTTCATCTGCAAATTTCTTATCGTATTTTTTTAACCAAAATTTACCTATTGCATTCCAACTAGATAATGGCTTGTGTAATATCGAATATAACGATTTGATATATTTACTTATTAGATTTTAATTTCCCAAATATTTTGTTCAGTATAAAATAAAACTTTTTCACCCGTTTGCTCAACATGTGTTGGAAGTGACAATGCCTACATTTTGGTCACGTGGTGATGGAAGTCACATGACAGATTCAACTAAAAACCGTATCCCGGAACTGCCGTATTGGCTATAGCTATAATCTATAGCACTATATGCATCAATTATTGCACTTTACTGAAAATTGGGATGCCCAGTTTTCTGCTAAAGTGACAGAACTTGCAATCTATTGTATACCTATCTGAACACCTGATCATGCTGATCAACAACAAAAGGGACAGTTGAGTCGGACAGTTGACCTTTAAATTTTATGTTAAATCTAACAATAGAAATTCTGTTCAGTGAGGCATAACTGAGTGGAATTTACCTGATCATCACAGCTTTCAATTATAGTGAACAATAGATCGTATATTCAGTCAGTTTAGCAGTAACAGTCAGGAGACTTATTGAAATAAGTGATTTTTAAATCACCTTTTAAGTAGCAAATTCGAAGTTTTGTCACAAATTGTGATTTTGTAGTTTTACCAAAATTTTTAACACATAGGTTTACATGGTTTAGATAATATCTTTTCATTAGTAAAATTGAAAAAAAATGAACTTTTTGCTTCTTTTAAGCAGCAAGGTTTATACTTTGATGCAATCATTTAGCTGCAAATTCTATTTTAGTTGAAAAAATGCTATAAAAATGGCTTTACATAATGAACTGATACTTTCTTAACAGATTTTTCCCAGCAGTGGGAGTATTTTTCCTGTAAAATTCAAGGTTTCATCTTATAGATAATAAAATTTTACTGTTCGTGATCAAAATTTCACTGTTAGGGGATGTTGAAATTAGTGGGGTTATTAAAATAATAATACTTAAAGGGAAAATTCGCGATTTTTTACTTATCATCTTATTATGTTCATAATACCATTAAAAACATATTCACCAAGTTTTATCTGGATATGAACACTAATAAAGAAGAAAATTGGGATTTAATAATTCTATTTATTCCAACTTCCTGACTTATGTGACGTAGTTTAAGTCTTTTTGCATGCCGGGAGTGAATAAATCTCATTGTAAGTCTTGTTCGTTAATCATCTAATAACGCGATTTAAAGCGCATCGACGACTTTTGGCGTAGCTATTAACCAACTAACAATTCAGAAAGAAAAGTGATCAGCCGTGCATTTTTTTAAATTAAAATTTACGATTTATATTTTAAGGATTTCTGATATGATTATAGTAATAAAAGCAAATCATACAATAGAATTTTGTTATGATTTTTTTTTCGACGGATATTTTGAACAACATATATAACTGATAGTATATAGAAATTCACGTTTGTATTCTCCCCTATTACTTCAGTCGAGGATTTGTCTTACTATACAAATCCTTGCTTCAGTCTAGTACTGTGTAAATACAATGCATGTGTATTATGCTGACACCACCTGGTAAAGGCGTGGTTAAATTCACGGTAATTAAAAGATTAGCATTATGTAATTTTAATCCTTTGATCTTCACTAGAGTGTTGTTTGTCCTCAAGGGTTCACCGTTGCAGGTATGAGACAGATTTAATTATTAAGGGAGGAATATGGTGGCAAAATACCTTAATCGCCGTTATATATATATTTTTTTTAACATTTTGCATTTGCTCAGTTTTTAAATAAATAGGTGAGTATTTTGTTGTAACATCGAAATTCTGAATCACTTTTAATAAAATAATTATATAAATATTATAAATGGCCCACGAAAACGAGTGTATAAATTAAAACAGTACTATTTTAAATTATCATCGGTAACCTTGAATATTTAAATGTGCAGAGAAAATTATCAGTTACAAAAATATAGTTTTGTCGTCCAAAGCGATCTTCATTTACCTAATCAGGAATGACAACGTATTTATATAATTCTTAAGCTATTTGACCAACGATGTTTAAAAAAATTAGCAGAATCAATCTAACGTCAACTTTCCTTTTTTAAATGGAGACAGAACGTCGAAATTAATTTTCACTGTGCTTGATATCTTGTACCTTTGTAAGACTTATCATTCATTCATAAACCCACTCTAAACCAGAGACATATATACGTCTGTTTAAACTGACAAGAAAACTCCTAAAGCGGACAAGCAGTATATTCTGTAAATTTCTGAGATTTAATACAAAGAAATAAAAAAAATCCCGAAATGAATTTGATCCTGGAAAATATTCACATCCTCATTCGGTCTGAAAAAAAGATACGAATTTGGTATACAGAACATGCAGAAGTGTGAATGTTATAAAACCTAATTGTTATATCAGAAACCATTATAAATATGAACATGTATACGTAAGACCTCATGGGACGTCACCTAACCACATTCAGGTAATATACGAGTAGCTCTGTTATACCCGGAAATGTCAAGGTTAATCATAGATAGACAGACATGACCTCAGACCACCCCCCAAATCGAGGAACAGAGGGACAGAAAGTCACAGGACAAAAAGTCACAGGACATAAAGTCACAAATGATAGGACAAAAAGTCACAGGACAAAAAGTC